TATGAATACAAAACATTAATATAAGATGAGCACACAATAGCTATTGCAACTAAATCCACTTCTCCACCCCTGCCCTCCCCTTGCACTCCCAACCACCCCCCTTCTTTGTACAATGGCTAAACAGCACTATATGTAGCAGCTAGTTTGGTTGTTTTACAGGACTGCTCTGTATCTAAATAATTTCTTGATTTTACACAAGCAGACCCTGCCTCACCTTAACAATTTCTGTGTTTCCATATTTTTCAAATGAAACTGTACATGTTGTAAGGTCATCAGATATGCTATCAACAGTCGCATCATAATAGCTAGAAAACACAAAAACATCCTTAATTGACATAATTACAAAATCATAATAACCAATTTAAATTAATTTAAACCTATAATAAAGGGAGAAGTACATGTATAATGATACTCCTATTGTACATATTAATAGGTTTTCACAGGCACTCACTCTTCTGAACTGACCCTCTCCAACCCTTAAATAGACCCATAATACATGTAATTGCTGCAAGTAAAATTTAAATTGACTTTAAAACATGCTCTGGAATGAAAAATATGACCATCAAAGTTGCTGCGTTACCGAGCATGTGCACATGCAGCTGTACAATGAATTTGTTGTTGTTGTTGTTGTTGTTGTTGTTGTTGTTGTTGTTGCTTAACTACAGTTTAACCATTAGGTTACTGCATCTCTTACAAACATGCTGTTACAGTGTAAAGTAGGGAAAACAATACATAACAACACAGCACATCTTTATTCAAAACTAAACTTAGTGCCACTGAAGAATGGCAAAGGCCGGAAACATCTGACAGTACATGTACATGTACATACTGTAACTGAGTATATTTTGGCACTGAATTATTATCAATTTACAATTTTTGAACTGGTTACTCTGCCACGCAGCCACAGATCCTTTTGAATTACCAATTATTTATTTCAGAACATCTTACTTGCCGTCCTGACTCCAAACAGCTTGACATTTCTGTCCTACTTTCCACTTGACACCAGGTCCTACTGACGCTGCAACATCTCCAACCCCTCCTTTCTAACATGAGATTAAAAAAAAAAAAAATGAAAAAAAAAAAATGAAAAAGGCCATGCCTCAACTTACAGTGTATATGTATAAATTATTACAGTTAATATGTTACCTTTACATGTATCGTTTTGGCAGCCTTCCATCACGTGTACATGTATTTGTGTTTATTTTTTATGCTCAAAACACAGGACTTACATGTAAAACCAAAATTGAAAAAGCAAACTTTCAGAGTCACTTGCGAATTTACTCTTGAGTTGACATCACATTCAAAAATACAATACAAACAGTTTGCCTAAACATGTAGTCATTACATTCTTTCCTAAAAGCCATGAACACCAGACAAAAATTTCTGGAATAGAAAAAGAACAAAAGTCATGACTAATCCAAACCTTTCAGGCTGTTGCAGTTTGCCAGTTACCTTCTGCAGTTTCATCTCGCATGTGACTGGTCATGAAACAATAAACACACCAGAAATTTTCTCCGGTGTTCACAGTTTTACAGGAAAGACTGTAATACTACCCCATGGAATCTGTAGCCTTAGAAAATAAACACCAAGACCCCAGAGAGTGGATTCAACTTGCATGTAGACAGTTTTAATCTGGTAGCCAGGCTTTTAACCAGATCAGCTGATGGGTGTCCCTGTGGACACCCACTTTTTAAAGAAAATTGTTTTATTTTTCACATTGCTTTATGAATTGTACATTTCAACAGACCCTATAGCACATTTTGGATGCCCACATTTTAAATTCTGGCTAAAAGCCTGCTACTATAGCAGCAAACACACGAACTGTTGGTGAGCCACCACATAAACTAAAACCTTTCAGGAAAGAGGACAAATTGCAATATGGATGAACATTTTTATCCACCAAAGATGGTAGACTGGCTGTTGAAAGCTTATGATTTTCAATATNCACAGACGGCCAAGACACTGACAACCGCCTATAAAAACGCTACTGACCAGACTAGCTCCTAGTCGTTAACTATGTTAAATTTCATTTAACTATATTTTAACCAGATCAGCTGATGGGTGTCCCTGTGGACACCCACTTTTTAAAGAAAATTGTTTTATTTTTCTCATTGCTTTATGAATTGTACATTTCAACAGACCCTATGGCACATTTTGGATGCCCACATTTTAAATTCTGGCTAAAAGCCTGCTACTGTAGCAACAAACACACGAACTGTTGGTGAGCCACCACATAAACTAAAACCTTTCAGGAAAGAGGACAAATCGCAACATGGATGAACATTTTTATCTACCAAAGACGGTAGACTGGCTGTTGAAAGCTTATGATTTTCAATATTTTTTTACCAGAGAATGTTATATCCAATTTTATCATGATCAACCCTGGTAACAGATCCTCAATATTATTACACAGCAAAGCTGTTATACATGTAACATCACAGAGGGATATACTGTCAATTGCTTTTGTTTCTCAAAATCCCTATGCAGGATTTTCAAAAGATCCTTAGTATTGTAAAACTTCAAACTTAAGCCCTGAAAACTTTGAGTATGGAAGAACTTTTTTGTACATTTGAACATCACTGTTCTAGATCTATTATTACAATACTTCTTTGCTATTTTGTATCAAAGAAAGCGTCTTACCTCATTCACTTTCAGAAGATCCAATGTAAGGGTTATTACTTCCTGTTTAAGACAATAAAATTTACTATTACAAACCATTGCTTTATCCTCCTTCAAGAAAAAACTTGTGCAATGACAACCCCTTACCATAATTGTGAGGCAAACTTACAAACTTCCCTAGCAAAAATGGAAGTTTACAGTCAAACTAAATGTTGACACTGATCTTAATTTGGGACATTCCCTATTTTTCTCATCATAGAGACGTGTGCAGATCAAAAACGGAATGTCCTTTTAAGTCTTAAGTCTCATACATGTACACTGTAAGCTCATAAAAGCTTACTAATGATACTGCAAAATTGCATTGCGTATATATATCAAGCGGTTTTGCAAAAAAATCTTTCCACAACTTGACGGACGGAAGGTCGTGATGGGCATTTGGACAACGCTACTACATTTCAAAGGACTAAGAAAAGGAAATTTAACAATTAAACTAGGAAATTAAACCTGTAAATCGCCTTTTAACTTCTTAAGTTCGTCATTGTCCGGATCAGTGGTTAATGCTGCTTCAACCTACGATAAAATAGATTCTCTTTCTTATTTCCTTTCAGAATGATTAGTCACAAAAGAATTCACATGGTAAACGAACGAACTCTCGTAATTCTGATCGAAAGAAACTCACCTGTCGTAATTGAGCGCGATATTCTGTCAAATTTGTCTGCAATTCTCTAGCATCCGCCATCTTTGACTTCAAGAAAACATTGAGCGTGGCCGCTAGGCACCTTAGAGCTCCCGTATGAGAGGCCCGGCCACTAAGGACCGCGTCCCAGCCGTCTTCAGCGTTCTCTCTAATCTCTGTGGCGACTGCTCAGCGTCCGTAAAATAGCGCTGTTTTCGTAGGCTCGATTTACACCGCTCTCTGGCTTGATTTCTTCCAAACGATACCTCAAGTCAACTTCAAGCTCCAGGTAAGTAAGGTTAACTGTATATCCTCACCGATTCCTCGGAACTCTTTCCGTAAAGATCTTCAAATGTAAGCGTACATTTTGTGTGAAAATTTGTCGTGGTATGTGCCGCAGACGATCTCACCCGAGTAACTTTCCCGTAGCAGCAACAGTTTATTATGAGTGAATAAAATGGGTGGCGAATTAAGAAGTGAATACCGGTATAGTTAAGCATAATACAGAGTATGTACTGACCCCCCCAAAAAGGAAACCCCGCCATTATTTTGTGTTTAAAAAATTTATATGTAGCTCAAGGTCGATTACAGATTATTTAACAAATAAATCCGTGCTGCCGTGCGTCAGTTGAGTAATATTATTGATCACAGATTATGTCAGAATGTGGTATGAACAAATTAACAGTGGCACATGGCTGACATCTATAGAGCGATAGCCGAGTGTGTTGGATTTCAATTTAGGATTGTTGTTGTCGACGTTATTGGCCTCTTATAAAGTGACACGAAGTGCCTGTCTTTGAAAAGCCTAGATTTTGGCGACCAAATTTACCTTAGGGCCTGTTTACAAGGAGGGAGGGTTACCCTAGCAAGCAGGTTACCCTAGCACACACACATTTCCTCTTTTTTCGTTGTCGTGTTTACAAGGCAGCTAGGGTTACCCGGGTAGGCGGGTTACCCTATCTGCATGCTAGGGTTACCCTGGCAGGCGGGTTAACATTTTCCCTCGTAAACACTCCAGGTAGGGTTAACCCGCCTACCCGTGTGAACTTTCTAATTGTTTCTAGGCCCTTTGAGTGTAACCGTGCATTAAGTTGTTCCGGGTTGTAGGGTTATCCTACCGGTGAAATTTTGCTTGTAAACCCAGGCTATCTTTTGCCCTCCAGCTAAGGTTAACCTGCTTGCTAGGGTAACCCTCCCTTCTTGTAAATAGACCCTTAGTGGCAACCATTTTACAGGAGCAGCCCTGTGTTTGACTAGAATTCAGCAATACCTCTGGTTGCTTCATGATTCAAAGAAATCTACCCCACCCCCTTCCCAACCCCTGCTAGGATATCTTGTTATTTAAATCCAGTCATTCTTTGTATACTACAAAATAAATGAAGTGAACTTCTTTTCAACACCGTCAACAGACCTTTCACTGTCCATGTGTCCAAATAGAAATGGGTTACCCCCCAAAAAATCCACACCTTCCTGACGGATGGGTTTGTGGAAATTCTCTTGGGAGGGGGGTCTCAAAGGCTCTGGAAATCCAGGCAGGAGAGGGTGTGGTTTAACCTGAAAAAACTTCTTCGGGGATCATTTCAATTGAAGATAATCTCGAACATTTAGGTATGTGAAATGTGACAATTGAGCTCTCTCTAAATCTGAAAAAAGTTGAAATCTTTCAGATATACGACATGTATGTTTCCTTCCTGATATACCTTAAGTTATCCACACAGGTTCTTCCATAACCACAGTAGACATGCAGAAAGCATGCGAAAAAAGGAAGAACATGAAGGAAGCCGTCACAGCAAAGCTCGTTACGAGTGTGTAGCGCTTGACACTATTTATATTGTCATACCCTGCAATAGACTAGCATCCCAAGATAACCTTTGGCTGTATGGGCCACTGGTATGGTGCAGACTTACCATAATAATTCAATTTGCGCTTGGAACCCTTAGTTACATGTACTTTTGGTACCTCAAAAGAGGGTGCTTATTCGAGACAGGGCGCTCATTTCTTTTTTGAGAAACACCCGAATTTTCAAAGCAAAACTTGAAGAAGAGATCACTCGTTTGAAGGAATTAAGCATTCACATGGACATAATAGTTGGGAAACTCAGACGAAGAACACTGTGTTTTGATGCGGCATTATTAAGAAAGTTGAACCTCCGTTGATGCGTTTTCTGACCCCACTGTAATGCTATAATATTAGAATAGGGGCGCGTATTGGAATAGGGATGCTTACTAATGAAAACACATTCGAAGAGGGGCGCTTATTTGAATGGGGGCACTTATTGGAAGGAGGGCGCTAAATCGAATCATTGCAGCAACCTTTACACAATAGTCACACTCTGTTTTCTTTTCATGACAGGTGAACAGGTGGTAACAAATGAACTGCATAGTCAAGTTCCTATAGTATGTAAAGTAATTTGTTACACAACGGGACCAAGGTACACGATGAAACCAAACGAGAAGAATTTCCACTGTATCCAATGTGACGTATCCTTTACAGATTCTCAAAGTCTAGACCAGCACTGTGAAACACACAGTGTTGTGGAGAAACGCATTTGTAATCAGTGTGGCACCTCATTCGAAAGTGCATCTAGTCTGGGAACACAAAACGTCACCAACAGTTCCTTAAAATGTGCCGAGTGCAATGAGGCTTCTACGGTGAACACCGATGTTGTTCCCGCGCAAGAGAGGAGTCACAATGATCTTCAAAGGACTCATAGTGGCAAAAAACCTAAGAAATGTTCCGAGTGTGGCAAGGAATTTGCATGTCACGCGAAGCTTCTGAGGCATATGAAGACACATAACAGAGAGAAATCCTACAAGTGCTCGCTTTGTGATGGAGAATTCGCTCACAATGCAGCTTTTCTGAAACACCAATGGACACACCATGGTGTTAAGCCTTACTGGTGCACTATTTGCAATAAAAGGTACTCTGCAAGTTCATCTCTTGCAGTGCACAAAAGATGGCATAGTGGTGTGAAACCTTTTGAGTGTACTCAATGTGACAAGACATTCAGGAATTCCTCAGCCCTCAAGTGCCATACGGTGACACATTCTGATGCCAAGCCTTATAAATGTACTGAGTGTGACAAACAATTCCCACGTCAAAGGTCCCTTTCACGTCATAAGGTGGTACATAGTAAAGCAAAACCGTACAAATGTGCTCAATGCGACAAGGCATTTTCAGACTCCACAACGCTTTTGCGTCATAAAAGAACTCACACTGGCGAAAAGCCCTATAAATGTACACAGTGTGACAAGGAATTCACAGATTTCTCATCCTTTTCGCGTCATAAGAAGACTCACATCACGGAGAAGCCGTTTAAATGTAACGAATGTGACAAGGCATTCAGGGATGCCCCAGCTCTTGAGCGTCATAAGAAGGTTCACATCAAGGAGAAGACGTATAACTTTGATAGACCCTACAAATGTACTCTTTGTAATGGACAATTTTCTCACAGGTCATCTCTTCTGCAACACGAAAAGCTCCACACCGGAGACAAGCCTTACAAATGCAGTGTGTGTGGTAAAGGCCATAGGACTAAATCAAGGCAAATTCAACACGAGGTGGTCCACGGCACTGAGAGACCTCACAAATGTCGGATTTGTGAGGAAACCTTTCGATTTCCCGCCAATGTCTATCAGCACGAGAGAAGCAAACATAGCACTGAATTCCAATTTGCCTGTCCTCTTTGCGGTCAGCGTTTTCTTCGAAGTGGGGAGCTTGAAAAACACACCAAACAGCTTCACCAAACAGAGAAGCCTCGTCAGTCAGAGAAGCCACGTCGTAAATCTACTCACCGCAATCAGTCTGAACAAGAAGGGCCATTCAATTGCAGTGAATGCGAACTAAGTTTTAGGTTGAGACGGAATCTCGTTAGGCACATGGTGGCACACAACGATGAAAGACCCTTTAAATGCAGCCACTGCGAAAGGCGTTTCAAAATGAAACAAAATCTCAACCAACACATGTCTTCACACTCGATTGTTAGACAGCCGTTGGAGTGCAGTGTGTGCGAAAAGGCTTTCCCAAATGGATATAAGTTAAACAGACACATGTTATCACACACCAATGAGCGATCCTTTAAATGCACTCAGTGTGGAAAAGGTTTCAAGTTGAAAGCCCATCTTAAGTCGCATATGTTTTCACACACGGAAGGGAAACCGTACAAATGTACGCAGTGCGACCGGGCTTTTAGATCGGCAGATTACCTGAAGTTACACGAGTTGTCGCATATCGATGAGCTGCCCTTCAAGTGCAGCCACTGCGAAGGTGCTTTCAAGTCAAGACACCATCTCAAGAGACACATGTCGGAACACACTAGGGAGGAAACCGTTCATGTGTACGTAGTGCAGTAAGTGTTGCAGGAGCCATGCCACGGTTCACCCATCTTGATAACTTTAGCCTAAATGATTCAAGTTCGTCGTTTGTAATCCGTGTCAATCTTCTCCATCCTTAACCATCCTTGTTCCTTTGTGGTTTGTTGTCATCTTTTTGGTGTTTTTCCATCTTAATAAATTACTATTTCAAGGTTTTCTTCAATTTAATTGAAGAAAATTTAATTCTGTACGCGGCCGAAGTAACTCAAACTGCCGCGACTGAGCTCCTCTAAAGCGCAGGCTGCCCACAGAACCCAAAGTGCACTTGTTTATGCACATTGGATTCAATTGTAGTTAAAGTAAGTTATAAGAAACTTGCAGTTACCTTTTGTTCAAGAAATTGAAGAAGACTGAGGTGATATTAACACTCGACGGTGGTGTTAATATAACAGTGATCTGATGTGTTGGTATGAACAACTACTTTGCAGTCTATGCAGTACATCGTTAGTAGTTAGAGTAAAAGACTTTAATCAAAACTCCACAATTCACTTTAAATATACGTAAGGCATCATTCTAAAACTGATTACGAAAAGGGTTTTTTTAAGCAAATGGCATACGTTAGGGCTCCGCCTGCATTTCTTAGCGTTATTTTAGATGTTGAACACGTATAATATTTTCTGTAGTAAACTCGTTGGATTGATTATAAAGGAGTTTTTATTGTTGTTAAAGATGCTAGTCTGTAAAAAGCTGGTTTTCAATACGACATCAGCAAAAGCGTGAGCATAACGGTGGTAAGGACATCCACATCGCAAACATAAATAAAACATACGAATGCGTAGAAAATGTAATTGGCCAATCACAGTAAAGCAAGATGGAGGACGGTGTTTATGTTTATGCTTACAGCAGGGCGTTCTCGGTTGAGAAGAACAAGAGGTACAAAAATTTTGATCTGCCTAAGTTGTGCGTGTCGTCATTACCGTTTGCTTGTGCTTGTGCTTGTGTTGTGGGCGTCCTCACTGCCTAGGCTTGTGCGTGTGGCGTAGCGAAAACCAGGGTTAAGTCGCGACAAGTTCACGTCATTGTACACTGCAAGTTCACCAAGCAAAAGCATTTTTTTTTTTATCAGCAGGCATGCAAAAAGCTCAAGAGTCCGTACAAAGAAGACTCGCTCTCACCAAGCATTTTGACATTTGTATTTGTGCTTATCCCGATAATGCGTGCATTGATCTGTTCTTGATAACATTAGGACAGCTGTGCGTACAATTTATGTGCTCGGGTGAAATTCTGACCTGCTGGTGATTAAATTGTTAATTTTGCAATATGTTGGTTGAGTTACTAATATTTTATTGGTAGAAAACGGACTCGCTGTGTTGCCGGAATGCAAGGTGATTTCAATTTTCGAGAGGAAAGTGGAATCTCTCCTAACGACGCTGCTTTAAGCACTGGCTTCGACGACATATGCTTCGGAAGGGTTTTCACCATATTCATAAATGGCATGATGGGGCAATGCCTTGCTGCGGAACACATACTTCATGTAAGCCGTATTTCCTCTGAAACCTGCATGTATAACTTCTTTAACCCGTTTGTTTTCCTTTGCTTGCTCGTTCCTGTTTCACGAAGAGATTCTAGTCATCCAACGCTTCTGCAATTACCTATCACCATTATCGCGAAGATGCAACTGTCTTTTTTCTTCGCTGTGCATAATCGTCTTGGCCAATTCCCAGCGTTTTACACGGAAAGGGATCATGGTGCATCAAAGAAGGCAGTGAATCCATGACCAGAGTGGATTCATCTGTTGCTTTGATGCACCATGATTCAGACAGATCTTGGATCACTGATCCCTATCCGCATCACCCCAACGGAACGAACCCTAAGACTTGGTGTGCCAACACGAAAGTGTTGATCCTGTTAACCCCCTTAACCAGGAGTCCTTTGATTAATTGCATACAATCCCAACACTAAAGCAATACATTTGTACGTAAATTATTTATTTAAAGGGCAGAAATAAACCCAATTACATTCTTAAACAGATTACGTAACCTTGTCTAGAAATGAAGTTGTTGCAGAGTTAGGTTTCCAGACTGAACTGTAAAAAGATCATTTCGTAGGTTCCATCTAGAAGAACCAACACCTTTAAATTCCAGTTCGACCAGAATAGACGACCCGCATGAAAACCAGCTAGGGTTGATGTGGCTTCCTCCCTAAATATTGCAATTTATTTGACGATGTTTTTTTTTTGGTTTGTTTGTCTGTTTTTAAGTAATGCGCATATACAACATTCAGTGTCACTAATCTTACCATGAAGCGTTTCCCCAATAACAGATCCGAATTAACAGATCGCCCAAATTATTTGCTTGCGATTCCTCGAAGACAGATGGTGAAAAACAGTTTAACCAAACCTTACCATAGTGTGTGTCTATAAAGATTCCCAATTCAGTCCCCCTGATGTTGAGAGACCTGTTTGTCTTGGTTCGGGATTGACTGCATCAAATACAATTCAAAAAGTAAAGGAAATAGGGCTGTTTGCGAGACAAAATAGGTATTACTTGTACGTGTGAACAGGTGGAACTTTTAAGTAGTTGCCGCGAAATTAAGTAATTTGTACGAAAATTAGGTTCACAAGTACAATTATTCCCTAATTATTTTGGGGAAAAAAATGGCACCCACAAATAGAAGCTGTGATCAAAAAAATTGATATCTCTCCCTTCTAGACTCCTAGTGTGTGCAGGGCAAGTTTCGGTTGACTTTTTCTTGTTTTTATTTTGTTGATTTTTTATTTTTTTATTATTATTTTTTCGCTGCAGCCTCTTCAAAATTAGTTTTTTGTTTGTCTGAAACGGTAAACCCGAAAGTTTGTTTTGGGGCATGTTCGCTTTCAGTACCTTGAGCTGACTCGTTTGCCCAAATGCGGCAATACGGTTAGAATTAGATTGTTTAGCTGTCAGTACAATTTGGGATAAAGCGAACGGCCCTTAACCAATCACAAGGGAGCATTTACGGTAGCAATACTATTATCGAGGAAATACACCGTTTGCGTAGTCAATACGTATACAGAACACTGACTCCACTGAAAGGTAATTAGTATCAGCGACAGAGGAGAGCTTCTTACTATGGTTTTTCACGAAAATTGACAGTCATGTAAGAAAAATTAATTTGGTCATTCAGAATTTTAGCAGTTAAGGTCGGCTTAATAAAGAAATGGAAATCACAGCCGACAGAGTAGCGTTCTACCATTCATCAACACTTTGAGGGGAAATTTTCATTTCTGTGCTTAAATTAAACTAATAATTACTTGCATGTAAAGAGCGGAAGGCAAAAAGATGCTGCAGTTTCATTTTTGAAGTTTTGTATTTCTCAAGTATCCTTTCAGTTTAATTGCGCTAGTCTTTTTCAGGATTTAGCCCACAGTTGTACGGTACGAGAAAATAGAAAAGTAGCATAACAGAAAAAAATAAATAAATAACGAAGTAGATGACAGTTTTTAAATAGTGTAATTAAAACGTTAAGTCCATCCCCGGAGACCCAGGGCAGCTAGTCGGGACGATGCGATATTTTCGGTTGACGCAATAGTTTTGGACGAAAGTTTAACTCAGGAGCTGGAGAGCCGCTCGGAACTTACTCTTATCGAGAAGCGTTTGAAATCCTTCCCGCTGATTGGCCAGAAAAATAGTTTTCTGACCAATGAGCGAGAAGGATTTCGAACCCTTCTGGAACTGGTTCTGTAAGAGTAAGTTCCCAGGGGCTCTTCCGCTCTTGAAGAAAACTTCCATCCAAAACTATTGCGTCGACCGAAAATATCGCATCGTCCCGACTAGCTGCCCCTGGGTCTCCGAGAATGCGTAGAGCCTAGCAGGCTAGCAAGTAATATAAGCTTTCATTACTATGTATATATTGTGGTCGAAAATTAGGCTTCGTTTAAGGCTTTGCCATGCAGGTTTTTTTTTTTTTTTTCTCTGGTCCATATACTTCAGTAGCGTTTTTAATCAGCTTTTCACGGGTATTTCCTTAATCAAATAACAATGTTACACCACCTATTGCAAAAAGATTGAAGTGCTGGAATAAACCAGGTACGATGGAAGTTGTAGTATGCTTGTTTATTCGTGGATTTTTTTTCTGTCCACTAAATAATGTATACGATTAAAAGATTTCGGGTTAAAAGTTGAAAAATTGGTGGATTTTTTTTGGCTGGAATGGAGTTAAGGGCCTCTGTATATGTGGGGTAAAATTGGAGGAAAACGGAGCCGTCCCGTTCAATTAAGCGGCTTTGTCTGAAAAACTCCAAGCAAATCCAGCGAAAAATAAATAGTGGACAGATCATCACAAAAATTGAAAAGGCTACTCATTGATCTGTTTGAATATCTGTAGATAAAAGTTCTGTTTGCTATCATGGAAAATTTATTCAAGTGAGTATTTGTTGTCAATAGAATTCTGATCTTTCTCTTTTCTCTTGCCTTTCCAACTTGCCGCGTTCATCGATGCATGTAGTCAAGCATAGACCAAATCTACATTGGTTGTTGAGAAAAATATCTCTGACAACGTGAGCTATTTAAAATCTTTTGAACAATCGCGAAACATTAATCCACGGTATTTTCTGGTTTACAACGTTTGTTTGTGGAAAATGTTTAGTTACAAATTTCTTCAAGGTGATCAAAGTTAATATGTCCCCAGCCACCAGAATGAACGTCAACCAATCGTAACTGAGCTTCTTTATTTTTGTATGCCCTTACGTCCCAACTTCTCTCAATCATGCTTTCATGGCAACCTCCTGTTTCCTGTAGGACCACGTTTCCTTCAACTAAAAGCTCACTGCGCACCCGAGCTATTGCACAGCCTCCTCCAATCAAAAACTTGAAGGTATGCCCTCTAATAACGAAACTGGGTGACGTCAGTGTTCCTTGAGGTCCATCACCTTGTGTTTCACCAGCAGGATGAGAAGGACTGGGCCGATTTTCATAGCCTCCTATCCACCAGTCTCCCTTGTGTCTGGACGGTTGGCCTCTATTTCGTGCTGTCGGGTTGTCCCCATATGTTGGCTGGTTGTTGAATGCCGTGCCGGTCAAGATCCAGCCTGATAAACCGTGCTCAAAGTCAAACAGAGTGCAGCCTTGAAAGAAACAAACACAAAAAAAAAAAAAAAAAAAAAAA